AGTCAATCAAGAGGTATCTCCAAATGTAATAATATAACTTTTTTTTCCTAGTGAAAGTAGAAGAAAACCCATCCAGTTTGTGTTAAACAATATCAACGTAAGCTCAAAGCATACATAAAATCAATCTGCAGCCGAGAATTTGAGAAAAAATAGTATGAAACTATTAATCCAATTTAAAGGCAAATATACCTACGAATTCCTTGGTTTATGGGTTTTCAAGTAGAAAAATTTAGAAAAACATTACTCACAAGCATTAGAATCCGAATCCAAAATACTTTGGGATATTGAATTTCTAAGCCCTTACATGGGTGAAGTAAATAACACGAAAGCAAGGAGAGATTTCTTGCGAAAACATAAGAATTCCATGACCACTATAGCAATTATACGTTTTGAATTGTGAGTCATTCAACATTTATCTAACCATGAACAAAAAAATAAGTCTTGCAAATGACCAAATTCAAGTTTAAGGGGATAAAGAAGTGTAAAGATGGTCATGACAGTGAAAGAAACTACTTATTGGCTTTGAAAAAGAAAAAAGGTCGAACCTTTATCCTTTCTGCCAAGGACAAGTAATTTAACAATACAACATTAACCCACAACAAGACAACTCCAAAAAAGTGAAGTAAATATGAACAAAAATATTCCATCTTTTTGTACTTTTAGTCAAACAAAATACCACTCTTTTGAAAGGTATCTACTTGTAAATGGGCTATCTGTTTACCAATTCATTTTTCACCGTTTTAATTTTCCCAAGATTTCAAACACAGATAAATAGGTTTTAGTTCTCGTCCTAAACATGCCTGAAGGTAAATCTAAAACAAAATTGAGCCACCACATACAGACTTCGACTTGTCTATCGTGCTCTTAACACAGTCACCCAGTCTCCACTGCTCAAATTGCCTTCGCACTGTCTTGCAGTTACTCGATGTTCACGCCCATCTTGAGATATCTCTTGCCTGCTCAATTACCACATGAAAGTCAGCAGTGACGAACTTTGTAGGGGATCATCTCGAGAAACTATATGGTAACATACTGACAACAAACACTAAAACAATTTAATTGGAGAAAACTGATGAAATGTTCAAATAACAAATTTACAGGAAGTGTACGCCTAAAGCAACGATGTGTATACCTATAGCCAGCCCTCTATATGGCTTCCTCTTTTTTTTTTTCAAAAATCGAACTCCAGAAAAGAAAAAAAACTCAACCAGGGTAAAATCCACGATCAGAAAAGAACAGATGATGGGTAATAAAATCAGAAAAGGAAAAAAAAATAGATAAAAGTGCTTTACCTCCAAAGCACTCATATTTTTGCTTATATGTAAGATAAAGATATAGATTTAAATTTTTAAATATTTCTTAACTCAACAACCGTGTAGTGCACGAGTGTTATACTAGTGCTTAATAAGTTATTTAATTTATCTTACTAAACTTAATTGACAAAAAAAAAAAAATTCATCACACCACGTGATCACAACACTTTACTAGTATTAAAAAAATGTGTCTATGATATCAATCGTCAAGTGGATGCTTGGATATAAGATGTTTTGATTTTGTTTGAAAATTTTTGTTTGGTATGGTTAATATTTTAAAATGTAGTATGATTAGTTGTTAGTGAGATTTTAATTTTATATTAAACTAATATTTAAAGTAATGATTAGTTGAAAGAATTAAAGTTGATTTGATTTAAAGGTAAAAGAGAACTGATGTGAAGTGATAGATAGTTAAAATTATATGAGTAGATGAATATTAAATAGTGAATTAAAAAAGTTGATATAATGTGTAAAAATGATAATGATATTATTAATGCAAGTGTGAGCGTCCTGGTCCGGTTTGGAGCGGATCGATCTTTGTCCTCGCCGGTAGAACGCCGGAAACCTGCAAGTAACTCTCACACCGGGGGTTGTGTCCGGTGAAGAGCCTCCGATGCTTAAGTCAATATGTGTATGACTATATTGAAGTGAAGAATGAATGGAATGTGCTAAGGGAGAAAGGCTCACCCCCTTTATATAGGGGTGAGATACCTGCTCTAATAGCTGCCCAGATAAGGTGAGCTGGCTGCCCAAGCTGCCCGTCCGTACTCTGACACGCCGCGCACATGTCAGAGGTGGCGCGGGGCGTTGGGAGCTGTCAGAGGTGGTTATCGCTATCACCCAATATATTGTCGACACGTACCCCCTTGCACATGGGGTAAATATTCTCCTGAGATTCAGTTAGAGGCTCTCACGCGCACCCGCGACACACGCGCCTGTGACTAGGCCGATTGTGGGCTCCTCGAAGCGATCGACCTGCTGAGGTCGACTGGCTTGCTCGATCATGTATTTGGTCGAGCGTTGGGTTGCTCGATCGCTTGTCCGATCGAGTGATGGAGTGCTCGATCATGTATTTAGTCGAGCATTGGGTTGCTCGATCGCTTGCCTGGTCGTGCGATGGGTTGCTCGATCCTCGATCCTCTCGCCTCTTGGCCCGACTTCCTTGCGGTTTGATCTTCTCGACCGGCTCAACAGACCGGTTTAACTTTGCGTATATAATATCCTATATCATCTAGTCCCCCCCACTCTGGTCGAGTCTGAATGACTCGATCTAAGAGTGAATTCGTGTTTATCGATTCTCTGGTTGGCGCTAGATATCAACCAGCTGGCGAGTTTCCCGCTTATTGTTTTGAATAATTTCCCATTAATTGTCAGGCATAAAGTCGTCTATCCCATATCCTTCCTGTCGCACCTGCTTTTCTGCCACGCGTCACTCCTGTTCGCGTGTGTCAGGTACTTTAATGATGACTCCCCCTCGCCTAACGCGCCCACTTGGAGTACCGCGCAATTTAATGCTTTCCGCTGTACGATCTAACTTTAATCTAACGATCTTCATCTTTTCACCCCTTAAACTCCTCAGAGTATAAAATCAACACTTAGCAGATTTTCGGACTTTTTCCACCCTTGCAATTTCGAAGTCTCCTGTGCCTAAAAATTCTCTCTGCAAAAAACTCTATCTTCCTCGGCGATTTCCCCTGCATCCTTTCGAACTTCCATTACTTTTTGATCCACGGTTATGAGTAAGTCTCTCCGCCTTTGAATTTGTATTTTCTGTAGTTCTATTTTGTGTATCCTTGGATTTTCGGTATCGGGGTACCCTCGATTTGTCTGTTGAATCACTTTGAATTGGCGTGTCTTGTGTTAAATTTGTGCTCTGAATACTTGTATCTGTCTATTGGGTGTTCTGAATTTTGCTTTTCCTCTGAAAATTTCCGAAATTTTCGTCTTCGCGCCTCTCAAATCCCTCTTCTGGTTTTGGGATTGTTCCTTCCGAAAACCCTAGTCTTCCTTCTCCCCCTTTTCTTCTTTGCGAAGGGTTCTTTTTGATATTGTTCTCTTTGTTTTTATTTTTTCAGACTCTGAGACCTCCTCTGATTCGGTTGAAATACTGCCTTATGCGCTCGAAGCTGTCCCTCTCTCTATCCTTCGCCCCGGCGACACAGTTCCTACCCGTGTTTTCACAGCTCGTATTGCATCTCCCAATTCCGGGGATATTATCCATGGATAATATCCCCCTCCGCCGCCGTCGACCTGCTCTCGGTGCCTTAGACGAGCCAGAGGAGGACGAGGTTCTTTCTGCTCAACCTACTGCTCCCGCATCTTCAACCATTCCGTCTTCTTCCTCTACACCTGGACCTTCGAACTCTCCTCCTAAACGATCCTCGACCAAGAAATTTTCCAAGCGTCCATCTTCTACTTCTCTCTCTCACCCTTGGTTCAATCCTGAAAAAATCGGCCAACCTCTTGGTTGGGCGTTCCTTAGGTCTTCTTCGTCCGACAAATACGATCATCCTCTGCGGGATTGCTATACTTTTTTCGAGATTCAGTTCAAACTCGGTCTCCGCTTTCCCCTAAGTCCCGAGCTGCTTCGCATTTGCGAGTGGTTCTCGCTTCCCCTACATCAACTTCCTCCTAATGCTATCCGTTTCATGAACACTTTTATTATTCTCTGTCACGTCCGTCTAGGTCGATCCGATCTGGATTTCTTCCACTATTGCTATGGCCCTTCAAAGCAAGGTCGAGGCCTTTACTTGAAAAGCCGTAATGGTGCCCATTTCATCAACGACATCCCTTCCAATCTCCCCAAGTAGAGTGATAAATTCATCTTTGTTCGACCTGACGCCCCTTTCCCCTGGCCTTCCATTCCTTGGGTCAAGGAAGTCTCGCGAGAGACAGTCTCGGCCCCTCCTTCGAACCATCATTTCGACCAATGGATTCACACTTGGAATGCCAAGTCCGTTGAGTCTGAAAAACTTCTCGGGGATGAAAATCTTCTCCACTATTGCGGTCTTCTTACCCATAAAACTCTTTCTCCTCCTACTGAAGAAATTCTTAATCTTGTTCGGATTTAAAATGATCCAGGTAATTCTCGACCCATTTGCTCGAGTGTTTGCATATGTGCTCTTATTTCTGTCGAAGTAAAAAACTGACATTTATCTTGATCTCCTTATTGTACTTGTGCAAAGGCTCCTAATTGTATATCAATTATTTAATTGTATTGATAATATTGATGATAGCATGATTAAATCAAGATTGAGTTAATTTTAAAAAATAATTAATTAAAAATAATTGAATTTTTTTGAAAAAAATTATAAACTTGTTCCATAACTGGAGGACTAAAAACCTACAACCAAAGGTTTTAAACAGAGGAATGAATATATAAAACGCCGGTTCCTCGAATGGCCTCCCATTACTTTTCCCTCTTCTTCGAATCCTCTATCTAACTCACTCGGTCTCTCACAACTCTCTCTCTCTCTCTCTCTCTCTCTCTCTCTCTCTCGGAAAAAACACACACATGTGCCGTCTGCCCACCTTTAGCCAATAAACCCCTGTAAAACCCTCTTATCTACGGCCGCGAGTTTTTGCTTTTTCTTTAAAAGAGTTATCAAGACGGCAGCCTTTTGTAGTGCAATTAGCAACACAAGCAGTAGCATCAGGCTGGGCAGTGTTGCGGCGGCTATGGCTAAAATGGGGTTTTCTGCTCCGGCTACCCCTTTTAGGCCCTCATCCTTTTCCCCGCCCTACTTCTGGCTCTGCCGCTCCTACACTCGGTTATACTCTTTCTCATCTTGGAGCAGAGTTTTTTGCAGGTTCAACTTTGTCTCTTTATTTGCTGAATGCTGTGGTTTTAAAGGGTTTTTTTGCTGGTTAAACTGTCTCCTTATTTACGGTGTTGGGTGTTTTAGAGAGTTCAATTTGAGGTATCTTCAATAAACCCCAAGGGATTTGGATTCTAGCTTTCTTTGCATTTGTTTAGGAACTTTTGGGGCTTGAGTTGTGCGCGTTTTATCCCTCCATATGTAGGAGATATTTGTCTTGTTTCGTGAGATTGGGGTTTTGCGTCCGGGCATTGTTATTGTGTGAGATTGGGGTTTTTGAGTACTGGCATTGTTATAGAGGTTGTGTGAAGACGTTAATTTACTTGAACCAATTGATTAAATACAGACCGTACGACAATCTTGCTATTCTATTATTTTGTTCTGTTTTCTTTTTACTTATCGTGTTAATTCCATATTGCAGGCTGGAAGATAGAGTGCGTCCAACTGGAAGTGGCCTCAATGATGATTTAGTCGTACAAAAACAAAGAAAAAGTTACAGCACACATTATGAAAGAAAGGGTGGACGAGTTACTAATTGGTCATATCCTCAGTTAAAGGGGCCCGTTGTTAGTAGTGAGGAAGATTGTAATGAAGTCGTGAATGCAAATTTTAGCCCTTTGCATACAGCCACCGACTGGGGCGTTGCAGCTGGAGTACAAAGTTTCAAGAGGAAATGTTATGTTGAAAGAGTTAAGGTAAATGCCAATCTCCAGACACTTCCGGAAGAAGAAATTGCAGGAAGACTCGGGCATGGCAGCCAAAAGAGAGTAAGATACGCCCTTACCCTAACAAAGCTTAGAAGTTTCGTGTGTCTTGAAAAGTCTAGCTATATTAAACGAAAGTACTATTATAAAAATTTTGTAATTGTGAGAAAAATTGTTTTATTTGCAGTATGAAAGAAAAGGGGAAGGGGGCAGCAACATGGCAGTGGGGAGTTTGATGACAAAACCCACTTGCCCGAATGGTCTGGAAAATAAAGGATATGGAGATTCTATAGCCGGAGAGAATAATGTGAATGGCATAATAGAATCTGTTTCTGCTGATGAGAAAGCTAATTTAAGCGATGCTGTTGGGGAAAATGTCAATCAGGAAAGGACTGCTTCTGAAAGCGAAATCGCTCGCGAGAGGCTTAGTCAGGTTTATGACAAGGTTCTTGTGGTTGATGGTATTTCTGCAGCAAGGGAAGTAGTCAGAATGCTCACCACTCAATA